TTGGTTGCATGTTCGATCATTCTCCCTTCACATCTATCTCCCTTTCTCCAGCCCTCCATCTAATAACTTATATATGAAGCTTCCATGGCTTCTGTGATTTCAAACACATCAGCTGATGGTAGTTCCTTATGTTGGGATCAGTGTCTCTGAAGTTTAGTCCAATATTTATCGGTCAAAGGTGATGCATCCTGTAGAACTGGTGTGTAGATAGGCTTTTCTTGGCCCGAGGGGCCTTGCGGCTTTTGGCCTCTCTGATTACCTGAGAAAATAGCAATGATTATCCTACTTTATTCTAGTTGCTAAGAGGAAATGTAAATTTGCTCTAGAATTTAGAAATGGAATTATAAAAGGATAGAGGTAGGAGGGGACAGGATACCTGTAAGTGGGGAAGATAATATTAAGAGTGAGGATTGGGCATTGTTTATCTTGACCGGACAAAGAGGCACTGAGCCTATCAGATAACACAGTTCCACACACTCAGAGTCTCCCTATCTGACTTCACCCAGATCTAGATGAAAAAATACTCAACAATTGTTGTATACTGTCTAGTCAGAACCAACCCATACAGACCATCACCCCAGCAGGTTTTCAGAGGCCATAAATCACATGGGAGGAGAGTGCCCATCTTTCTCCCATGGAGCAGCTGGTGAATTCAGACCAGTACTTTTGCGTTGGCAGTACAGTCCCTTACCAGTCAGCCACCACCAGTGCTTCCTCAGCCTCCCGTAGGCTGTGCTAATTGGAAGAGATACTGCTGGACAAACAAGTGCAGGAACCTTTGATCATAATCTCTCCAAGTGGTCATTTCCCCTCCTCGAGGCTTGTTCTTCCCCAGCCTGTTTGTTTTAGCAACTTATTCTTGTCTGTTTATGGCATATTTGTGTCTGAATGATTATTGTCTATGTCAAATACTGGTAGTGAAATACTTATAGTTGAATTTTTTTTTGTTTTTTTGTTTTTAATTCTTATGTATCTTTCTTTTCTGCCTTAACCCTTTGAGAGAATGGTCTGTCTGCAACTTGCTCAGAAAAGTGCCTGGAGCTTTCCCACACTTTCTATGAGGTCTGTTTTGGGGAGCAAGATAGGAATTTGCTAATTACTCCAAGCCTCATGTGTATGTATTATAGAAAGCAAAAACATAAACCTAGGAATGAGAAAAATGCCAGGAAGTCTCCATTACACTACAGAATCCCTCTAAATCAGACAGCTGAAAACAGTAAAGACTAGTTTTCCTTTGTAAATATATCCTGGCCTTCATGTCAGCTAGTAGGCCAAGAATTAAGTCAGTGTCTTATTATTAATTCTGCAGTTGGACCTTCAGGTAGAGATCGCGTATTTAAGCTCTCATAAGTCTCTGGGGTTGATGATGATGTTATGTCATACTCTAGAGTCAGAACCCACCCATGGCTGACCCTGCTGGGGATTTTCAGAGGCAGTAAAACCATGGGAAGAGATTACCTCTCTTTCTCCTGTGGAGCACCTGGTGGATTCAAATCGCATGCATTCAGATTGGCAGTGCAGCTCCTTACCTCGAGGCCACCAGGGCAAAAAGCCAAGTGTAGGAATCAAGCTCTTCCAAGCTGCTTGTGATCAAAAACCCAAAGAGCATGTCCATTCCACCCTGTGCTCCCTATACCAGGCTCCCCAGATGGAGCTCAAGTCCCATCAGTTTTACTCACCTTGGCCTCAAATTAGGAACTTGCCCCCTCCCCTTTTACAGCACTGCAGTTTGTGGATGGGAATAGGGAAGTCATGTTCTCTTTTGATTTCTGTCTGTCTCCAGTCATTGTAAAGAGAAAGCTGGTAGCTTTTTTGAGGGCCTAACAATGTAAAAATGAATTTTGAGCATTTGAACTAATGTGGAGGGGGTGTGATTGTTCTTATCAACTGCAGGCAACAGATGAAAGGGTCAGAATTGTAACTAAGCCTGAGAATATGCTGCCTCACTTATTCCGACTAATCCTTTCTATAATAGTGCTTTTGAGTTAACATCTTACTGTGTTCTAGGCATGGAGCCCTGTTGGCACAGAACATTAAGTGTTGGGTCACTGACAGAAAGGTCACAGTTCAAATCCACCATCTGCTCCCCCAGAGAAAGATGAGGTAGGCTCCTTCTGTAAAGATGTACAGGCTTGGAAACCCAGTGTGACAGGTCTTCTTTTCCTTTCCCTACTGGACAAAGTGGCAGGCCTTACTGTGTATCAGAATGTACACACAACAGTTGAGTGTATTCCAGGAACTGAATTACGTTTTCATCCCCTTCTGTTCATGCTGCACTTCTAGTGTGTATATAAAGATTGACAAGGATACCCTCCAGTATCTACCTTATCATAGTGAAAGCTCCAAACAACTTCAGTAAGCAACAGTAAAGGATTGGTTAAGTAGATGGTCAGTTCCTACCATGTGTCTGACTCTGTTCTGGATGCTTGGTATACATCAGCAAACTAAACTAAACTAAACTAAACTGCTTTCAGGAGGCTTACATTCTAGCAGGTGAAGACAATAAACAAGTGATAGAATGAGGCAGACAGTAGTATGAGACAGGAGGTGCTTTGGGGAAGACAAAAGTAGTGGCTTGAGAAAAATCAAGGGTCAGGAGGGCAGTTTTAGATACAAGAGCCAGTGTAGACTTCACTGTGAAGGAGTCAGCTGCACAGCCACGGGAGTGGGGACAGGGCATGTGCACTCAGACAGAGGGAAGGCCCTAAGGCAGGAGCATGTGTGTGTTTTCCAAGAAGAACAAAGATGCTGAAGCTGGAGCAAAGTGAGTGTAAATAATGAGAGAGGAGGGAAGTCAGAGGAGTCTGGCCCCAAATCAGGAAGAGTCTTGTCAGCCCTGGTAATGATTGTGGATTTTATTCTGAGCAAATTGGGGACCCTTGGCAGGATTTTGACACAAGAGTAATAGGACGTGTTTTTGTAATTTAGCAGCAACAGGCAGGCTCCTGTGTTGCGCGTAGAACTTGTTGGGGACCAGGAGAAACAAGGAGACAATTTTGGAGGCTGTTGCAACAACCCAGTCAAGAGCGAGAGGAGGCAGTATTATGAAAGCGGAAGAAAATGGTCCGATTCTGACTATATTTTGAAGACCCAATAGGATTTGGCTGACAGATGGGAATTAGGGTGTAAGGGAACTCAAAATGACTCTCAGTATTTTTGGCTTGAGTAGGTTAGGGATAAGACTGAAATAGCCAAGACATGGGCAGAACAGGTTTGTGGGAGGAAATCAGGAGTTCCATTTGGGGAATTTTTAAGTTTGATAAGTCTTCGGTATCCTTGAAAAGATGGGTGCTTACTGGCTACCAGTATTTAATAGTAGCTCTGGTAGTGTAAGACGGAGTTGCTCTGTTTCACCCCAAAAACATATCCATCAGTGGTGGGCTTTTGGGAAGAAGGACGGATAATTTCTTGTTGTGTGATTTACAGCCTCAGAAACCCAATGGAGGATTAGCTCTGAGCCAGCCCCAGCTCCACAGCAGTGAGAGTTGAGCGTGTTTAATCAATCTAGTATTTAACAGAGTGACCATCCAAATATACTCGTGAACAAATAAGAAAAGTCAGTGACTACTAAGTTAAAAAAAGCAGCAGATGATCCCTTTTATCTTATACATTCGCATATTTCATAGAAACAAGTACACGCAGATAAATACCGAAATGTTAACAGTGGTGATTTGGGAGTTTGGAGTGATTTTTGGGGTTTTTTTTTAACCTGATTTCTTTCTTTCTTTCTCATCTGTGTTCTCTAGTATTTCAGTAAAGTAATTCTTTAAGAGAGGGCATGTTGATAAAAAGAAAATAAATGCTCATATTGGTAAGTTTTTTTAGCTTTTGCCTAGATGATGGTGTTACAAACCGCAAGGGGTTCTTTCTGTAGTCAGTCGCCAGTAAGACAAAGGGATTGCAATATCCATAAATGCACTTTATTACACAGATCTGAGAGACAGGAGTCACCTCCAAGACTGTCTGCGCATCTGGGAGTGGTCATGGGATGGTGAGACATCAACTTACTTAACAGTAAACTTTTGTTAGTAAAATGAAAGAATTTCTATATTCACACCCAGATACTGGCTTTCTAGGCAAACAGGCAGATTAAGTTACAGTTTACATTTGATTGGGGAAACCAGCTTCAAAAAGATAACAGCCAATCTAGGAGTTGCATCTTCTCTTCTGATAAACAGATCAAGAAGGGACGGGAAGAACTCCAAGGTCAAGCAACCAGTCCCACAGGCTGGAGAAAACTATAGTTGTATAATTGATACCTATATAGAGAATTCTAAACTTATTAATACCACCCTGTCATTCCCCCCTCTTTTTATATAAGTCCTATATCTGTAAGACAAACATACCACCCCATCAGTGGTTGTTTAGAGGTGTTTTGGATTTACTTTTTTGTTCCTCCCCTCCCCTTTGTGAACAGCAACACTGTGTACAGGTTACTCTGTTTTCCTTTAATTATTTCCTTATGGTCTACAGTTGACCCTTGAACTTGCCTTTGACCTTCATGGGTCCACTTTGTCCTCTAAGCTCAAGTGCTATCAGGGTCACCTCCAAGTGGATAGTTCTTCTCTCCCAGGGAGATGATTAGTGTCACATACTGCATCTTAAGCCAATACTTGAAACACTTGAGCCAGAGGATTTCAAATCTGCATTATTCTCGGATCAATGCGTTCACATCAAGCCTGTGTGATTCCTGTACGGGAGGTATGGGAGGTTGACACCCACTAACCTCTGTATTGTTCAAAAGTCAGCTTTACGCTCAAAATCAGAATAATAAGCTAAAAATAGAAAAGTTTTAGCTCTTCTTGAATACTACCAGGTTTTCTTTAGAAAGGGTGAACCCATTTCAAATTCCAGCAGTGAAAGAATACTAGCCAGCCTAAAAGGAATATCTTCATTTATCAGGTAGGGATTGTGATTTCACACTGAAAAATTACTGACAGCGGTTCATCCAACTGTTGTGGGCATGGAAAGGTTTCATCTAGTCTTCTAATCCTTTTCAGGTGTGGGGATTGGTGTGGTCCATGCTGGGTACGAGAGACGCCTAGCCCATCACCTAGGAGCGCACAGCACACCCTCTATCCTAGGAATTATAAATGGGAAAATCTCCTTCTTCCATAACGCAGTTGTCCGTGAGAACCTACGACAATTTGTAGAAAGTCTTCTTCCAGGGAACTTGGTGGAGAAAGTAAGTATCTATTGAGGAGAAAATACTGAGAAATCTGTGAGGTGCTGGGCTGCTTGCTAATTAGCATTGACTCTACCTGTAGTCACCTCAGGACTAGAGTGTTGCATCATACATATTCATTAATTACTTAAACGAAATTATTTAAATTAAATCCTTTGACAAAATAAGCCTGTAACAGACTCCAAGGGTTTATTCATGTTAGTAACAGCTACTTTGAAAGTCTTTCACTCTCAGGTTTGATGCCATCATGATGTCATTATTATCCACTGTACTTAAAATTACACTGACTTATCTAAGCAGAAACTTAAATCACATGCTAGAATAAATGGAGTCTTTCTGACTTAGGAATTTATCTTGTGAAATACTTATGAAAGTATTCGGAATAAGTTACATTGTGTTTTATGTTATTGTTGCCAGTGAGTTAGCCACAACTGATAGCAACCCTTTAAATAACAGATTGAAGCCTCTTTTATCCTGTGTCATCCTCAAGCCCGTTGTTGCCTACTATTGGTTTTCTCGTTAATGAGTTAATGATTAACATTTCTAGAAGACAACAGAATCCATGCAATTAAATACTATGTTTAGAAATTTTTATTAGGCTTTCTTTATCAGTTCTTTAGAAGATCAAAGACTACAGCCTTCAATACAAATTACATCTCCACATTAAGAAAATGGAACTATTCATCACTGGGCTTGTGGGCAACAAAATGATAGAGAAAATACTGAAATTGTCGGTGGTTTCATCTTACTTGGTTCAACAGTCAACACCCTTGGTTGATTAAGAAATCAAAAGACATTTCATTGAATAGGTCTGCTATGAAGGACTTCTCTAAAACGCTAAAGAGCAAAGATACCAGTACAAAGACTAGGGTGCACCAGATCCAAGTCATGGTCTTTTCAGTTATTTGTTACTCTTCTGAAAGTTGGACTAAGGATGACAGAAGAATCCATGCCTTTGAATTGTGGTTTTAGAGAATAATACTGAATATTCCATGGACTGCCAAAAGACAACAAATAAGTCTTGGAGAAAGTGCAACCAAGGTGTTTTTGGGGAAGCAAAGAAGGTGAAGCTTCTTCTCACGTACTTTGGGCATGATTTTACGAGGGCCCAGTGCTTGGAAGGGTGGAAGGTCAGAGAGGAAGGCCCAAAACAAGATGAATTAACACAGTGACTCTTAACAATGAACTCAAAGTGTATCAGAGATGATAACGATAGCACAGTATAGGGCAGGGTTAGAGTCACTGTGAGTTGTAGCTGATACAAGGACACAACAACAAAAACATTCTTTGTTGAAGCATTTTTTTAAGACTTACAGAAAAGTAGTGTAGAAAGTACATAATTCCCACACCTCATTTTGTTGTGCTCTGCTTTATTAATCTTCAGAGACACTGCTTTTTTTTAATTGAGTATTTGTGGAAACCTGGCAGTAAGCAAGTCTACTGGCAGCATTATTCCAACAGCATATGCTCACTTCGTGTCTCTGTGTCACATGTTGGGAACTCTTATAATAGTTTAAACTTTTTCATAAAGCTATGGCACAGCTTAGTTAAAACATAACTTTTAAATGCACTGGCAAATGAAAAAAAATTGTGTGACTTGTTTTATCACAATATTTGCATTAGTGCAAATATATTGTGGAAGCGAGCCCACAGTAAGTCTGAAGTACGTTTGGTATCTTCTCTCCTGCTGCCCATGGTTTGCTCTACTAGCATTTATGTTACTGTGATGTATTTGTTAAAATTTGTGTTGATACGTCATAATTAAAGAAATGATCTGAAGTCCATTGTTTAAGTGAATATTGACTCTTTGTCTTGTGAATCCTCTGGGTTTTGATATATAGATAGACTGTTATACGTTTATACACAGGTCCCATTAAATCAGATTTTAGAACTTAACCAATGATGGCTGCAGGATGAATCCATTTGACAACTGTGAGGCAAAGAAGTTGGACACAAGAATTCCCATTAGTTTTTTCTATTTTATATTTTCATATCTAAAAAATCATCCTTTTTCCTCTGCTCTGGCATGTTAGGTTGAGAGTCAAAGAAACTGGAAAATGACTCTTTATTTTGCTTTCAACAATTTGTTCATCTAACAATACCAATAGGAGAGTTACAGACATTGCCACCCTGTTTGTACGTGCACTGTTCACGGACCATCTTGATTTCACAAAGGATATATTTTTCAGTATTACTTTGATAATTGAGAGAGGGTGTCATTAGCTCCTAAAATGATAATAAGTTGGTCTCTTTATTGTAAAATAGCTACTGCCTTGACCTGCAGGGGATAAGGGACCACAGAAGAGCATTAAGCAAAGGAGTAAAGTGATCTGATGTTTATGCAGTTAATCTAAAAACAGTATGGAAAAGGTGAATTTTTTTTAAACTGTGAAAAAATTTCCAACAAATCATGGTGGCATAGTGCTTAAAGTGTTAGAAAGGTTGGACTCACCAGCTGTTCCACTGGAGAAAAATGTGGCAATCTGCTCGTATAGAGAGTACAGTTTGGAAACTCTGTGGGGCAGTTCTGCTCTGTCCAGTAGGGTCATTATGAGTTAAGATCGACTCAGTGGCTGTACAGATTAATTTTTTTTGTAATTTTTTTTTCGTACAGATTATTTTTTATGAAAAATTTTTAGGTAGGAAATTTGTTCATGTTTTTATTTAATTTTTTTTTCTATTTTGGGGTATAAACCAGGAAACATGAAAGTAGCAATTCCTGTGGTAATATATGAAATTAAGTAATGCACATCTGTTGTTGTGTACTATTGAGTTGGAACAGACCCATGGCTGACCCTCCAGCAGGCTTTCAGAGGCAGTTAATTGCACAGGAAGAGATTTCCCATCTTTCTCTCTAGGAGCAGCTGGTGGATTTGAACCACTTGCCTTCAGGATTACAGTGCAGCCTTTTACCACTAGGCCACCAGAGCTCCCTAATACACATGTAGAATGGTGATTATTGTTAGGTGCTCTCAAGTAGACTCTAACTTATAAGACTGCTTTATTTCTATAAACAAGTGAGAAAAGTAATGCTGTATCTTCTGCAGCTTAATAAGTTAAAAGGTATACAGCAAATTGGGAGCACCATGATAGTTGAAGAGATTGAAGTTATCAATTTCAGTTTGCATGGCTCCACAATCAACACTTTTGACACCACCACTCAGGTAATCAGAAGACAAATTGCACTGGGAAAATCTGCTCTCAGGGACCTCTCCAGAGTACTGACAAGCAACAGTGTCAGTGTAGAGACTAAGATGTGCCTGATCCAGGCCATGGTCTTCACAATTACTTGCTCTCATCAGAGAGCTGGACATTGACTAAGAATGACAGAGGAAGAATTGATGCTTTTGAATTGTGCTGGAAAGAGTCTTGAACATACCATAGACCACCAAGAAAACAAAAAAAAAATCTGTCTTAGGGTGAAACCAGGTTTCTCCTTGGAGGCCAGGATTTTGAAGCTCCATCTCACATACGTGGCCAGGAGGGACCGATCCTTGGAGAGGGACATCATGCTCAGAAGGACACCCTGGATGAGATGAATTGATACAGCAATGGGCACAAGGGGAAGGTGTGTCAGAGTCACTGAGACTGGCTCAGGACAGAGCAGGTGTCAGAGCTGCTGTACATAGGGTTGCTATAGATTGCAGTCAACTCGATAGCACATAACAATAGCAGTCTATAATTAAGTAAGAATTTACTTTGGAAGTTCATTTTATTTGTAAAAGTTTTTTTATTTTTTGGAAATATGTACAATAAGTGTTTCTGGAAAGATTATTACAGTCTTTAGGAATTGGAGCAAATGAAAAAAATACCTGCTTTTTAAAATAGCTTAGTCAAATGAAAACAAAAATTAGTTATCTACCTCTAATATTTTGTAAAAAAATCTTTTATGTATATTTTATTTTGTTGTCTCCATATTAGAATTTGGAAGCAGGAGTGGCATCTACTTCCTAATACCTCTGGAAACTCTATGAACTTTGATAAATGATGATAGTTCTAGAAAGGCTTCAGGCCTTCTGTTCATAGGGTCACTATGAGTTGTACTGACCTCAACAGCAATCAACAGTAACATATTGGAATTATAATACAGTTATTAAGAATTAAATACTGAAACTAACATTCTATTTTCAATTCAAGGTTACAAATAAAAATTATGTCCGATTCCTTTCTGGCTGGCAGCAAGAGAATAAACCTCATGTCCTTCTGTTTGACCAAATACCAGTTGTACCACTTCTATACAAGGTATTTCATATTTTGGAGTGATGTTTTCATTTCTTTCGTGAAAAGAGTCATGTCTGTATTGAAATGTGCATCTTACTTGTCCTTTTGTGAGCAATGCATTGTCCCATGGGAGATATTTGAACTTACCCTCACACATTCCTGTACTGTTGATGCTACTTACTGTCCTAAGATCTTCCACATACATCACCATTTAATCCTCAGAAGAACCTAGTGATACATGTATCATCCCTATTTTATAGACTGAGGTACCAAGACTTAGAGTGGCTTTTATAGCTTACTCAAGGTCTCAAGATAATGTGGTGAAGATACTGAAGCCTGTGTAACTCCAGAATCTGCCCTCTTACACTTCAGTGACTTTCTCATCATCACTGTGACATGTGATGGGAGAGGAAAGTGTCCTGGGTAACAATTAGCATGGTCACTGTCATTTTATATATAAGTGGTGTATGGTAAGTCTATAGACGCTCCATGCTGCCCACTGAATACAGTTGTCAATAAAACTATTTTGCTTTATTTGTGAAACGTAGACTCAGAGGGGAGCTCTGGTGGCCTACTGGCAAGCTGCACTGCAGGTCCAAAGGCACGTGGTTCAAATCCACCAGATGCTCTGCTGGAGAAGGAGGGGCAGTCTCCTCCTGTGTGTCAGATCTGATTCATTGGTACACAATAAGAAGGGGGGAAGGAGAAAGAAGAGTAGCCTCAGTGTACACCTTTGTTGGTACAGTTGTTATACATAGAATACCATCGAATGTCTCAATGTGAGAGCTAGAGCAGCCCAGTGTTTAACCACGGTGCCCCCAGGACTCCTTATAGGAGACCTTTCGAGGCAAGGTTCCTATTCATACATTGATGTGGGAAAACTCATATTTAATCTGTGATTTATACATTACGCTGTCAATTTCATTCTCTTCCTCTTTATTACGCCCTAACAGTTGACTGCTTTTGCATACAAAGATTATTTGTCATTTGGATATGTCCATGTTGGTTTGAGAGGGTCTGAAGAAATGACAAGGCAGTATAATATCAATGTCTACACCCCTACCATCTTGGTCTTCAAAGAACACATCAACAAGCCTGCTGATGTTATCCAGGTATGTGATCCTTCCAAGATTTCCTTCACATTTCCTTTTCAGGCCTTCTTACAAATAAATAGTAAATCTAAACAAAGCAGATGAGAGGAAGGAGAAATTTGTTATTAAATTTTTTTAATTTAATGTATAAAATTTTAAACAAGATTTTTTATTTAAAAAATCTGACTTGGGGGGGGCTCTGGTGGCCTAGTGGCAAGAAGCTGCAACTACAATCCCAGAGGTGCATGGTTCGAATCCACCAGATGCTCTGCCGGGGAAGGAGGGGCAATCTCCTCCTGTACCAGTCAGATCTGATTTGACGGTACACGCACACAAAAATAATAAAATAAAAAAAAATCTGACTTGGTACTGTTGAGCTTGAGTATTAGTTTTTCTAGAACCTTAAACATTTTATGTTAATATTTAGAATAAGTTCAGATAGAAAATATCTACATTTTTAATTTCCAAAGTTTACACCCAGCTTTAATAGTGCTCATGTAGAGCCTATACCTGGACCAAGAGGCTGTAGTGCAAACAGAGCAGGGGAGCACTGCATGGTTTAAAATTGAGAAGGGAATGCCTCAGGGTTGTATTCTCTTTCCACCTGTTCAGTCTGTATGCTGAGCAAAGTATCCAAAAAGCTGGACTCTATGAAGAAGAATGTGGCATCAAGATCAAAGGAAGACTCATCAATAACCTGAGTTATGCAAATGACACAACCTTGCTTGCTGAAATTGAGGAGGACTTGAAGCATTTGTTGCCAGAGATCAAGGAATGCAGCCTTCGGTATGGATTGCATCTCAGTGTCAAGAAAACAAAGATTCTTACCACCAAACTGATAGACAGTGTCATGATGGATGGAGAGGAGATTGAAACTGTCAACAGCTTCATCTTGCTCGGATCCACAATTAATACCCTTGGTAGCAGCAGTCAGGAAATAAGGAGATGCATTACATTGGGAAAATATGCAATTAGGGACCACTCAGATTATTGAGGAGTAATGATGTCAGTTTGAAGACTAAGATGTGTCTAATTTAGGCCATAGTCTTTCCAGTCACTTGCTATGCAACTGAGAGCTGGACAGTGAATAAGGATGACAGAAAAAGAATTGACACCTTTGAGCTGTGGTGTTGAAGAGCACTGAATTCTGTGAACAGCCTAGAGAACGAATAGATACGTCTTGCAGAGGGTGCAGCCTGAGAATGATGAGGAATCACCTCACATACTTTGGATATATTTCTAGGAGGTGCTATTCCTTGGAGAAGGACATGATGCTGGGAATTGTGGAGGGTCAGTGAAGAAGAGGAAGACCCTCAACTAGGTGGATTGAACCTAGTAACTGTTGGAATGGTCTCCTATATCAGGAAGTGTGAGGCTCGTAAAGGATAGAACAGGGTACAGATCTTTTGTTCATAGTGTCACTGTGAGTTGTACTCAACTTGATGACACCTGATGATGACAGCAGTCTCCAAAGAGCTGTTTCTAATCCAGAAGATCAACACAAAAACTTCTTGGGGAAAAATAGGCAAATAATATGAACACAATTCTGAGAACAGATTCATATTATTAACGGTATTTTTTAAAATGAAATCTCACAAAGAAATGCAGATTTAACATTTTTTCACTCATCAAATTGTCAAAATAAACACGTTGCCGCAAATGACAGCAAAATGTGTTTCTAAGCACAGCCATCCATTTAAAAGTGTGCGGCAACGTATTAAGGGTTTGCTTAGGAAAGACCTGATAGAGGTGAGATTTCCTTTTAGGAATTTAGGGAGCTCTGGTGGACTACTGATTGGCAAGAAGCTGAATTGCAATCTCAAAAGCATAGAGTTCGAGTCCGCCAGTTGTTCGATGAGAAAAGAATGGGTGGTCTCTTCCCATGAGATTAACTGTCTCTGAAAACCCACAGAGGGTCAGCTATAGGTCAGTTCCAACTTGATGACAACCAACAACAACAATCTATCCTAAGGAAATAACTCAGAAATTTACCTACAAAGATTTTATGTCTTAACAGCAGAACTTGGAGAACAGGGCAACAAATATCCAGTAATAAGCTAACTATTGGTACAAACCAAACAGAATATTATATAACCATTTTAAAATGACAGTTTGAAGAACATTTACTTAATGATGAGGGTATTTTAACACTAAAGAACAAGCAGTGTAGAAAAGTGTATGAAAACTTCCTTAGTAATAGCTTATTTGTTGTTGTTATGTGGCATCAAGTCACTTGCTACACATACAACAGCTCTGAAGCCTGCGGTCCTGAGCCAACTTTATTGTCTCCAATGCATCTAGCCCCATTGCCTGTATCAGTTCATCTTATCGAGGGTGTTCCTCTCCTGCACTGTCACTAAACCCTCCCAAGCATGATCTCCCTCTTCAAGGACTGGTCACTCCTTGCAACATGCCCAAAATATGTCAGATGAAGCCTCAGAATCCTTGTGTCCAAGGAGCAGCCTGGTTTCACTCACTCTAAGATGAACCTGTTTGTTCTTGGAGTCCATGGTATATTCAACACTCTTGTCCACTATCACAGCTCAAAGGCATCAATTATCTTTCTATCATCCCTAGTCATTGTCCAGCTTTCTGATGCATAGCTATTAATTGGGAAGACTATGGCCTGGATCAGGCACACCTTGGTCTGGGACTGACATCTTCAGTACTTTGGACAGATCCCTGAAAGCAGACTTTCCCAGGCTGCTGGTACCAAGAGTGTTGATTGTGGAGCCAAGCAAGCTAAAGCTGTTAACAGTCTCTTCACCATCTGTCATGATGCTGTCAATTAGTGAGAATCTTTATTTTCCTGATGTTGAGCTTCAATTCATATTGAAGGCTGTAGTCCTTGACCTTCTGCAGCAAGCACTTCAGGTCCTCCTCAGTTTCAGTAAGCAGGATTGTGTCATCTGCATAATGTATGTTGTAGATGAATCTTCCTCTAATCCTGATGCCACATTCCTCCTTATAGAGTCCAGCCTCCCAGAGGATTTGTTCTGCATATAGATTGAAAAGGTATGGAGATAGGACACATCCCTGGTATACACCCTTCTCGATTTTGAACCATGCTGTATTTCCTTGCTCTGTTCTGACAATTGTCCATGTATAGGTTTCACATAAGAATGGGATTCCCATTCTTCTCAGAGTTAGCCACAGTTTCTACTCTTTGAGAATTGTATTTATACTTACTCCCTATGGAAAATTACAAATCAAAAACATATCGATTACTAGCACTACAAAGAAATACTTTGCCAGTCTGCTCTTACAGATACAGAAATGCACACTAACACCAACCACGTGCTCCCGGTGGCAGGTGACTTTATTGTAAGTCAAATAACGCCTGCAGCAGCCCCTCCAGCAGATTGTCTTTTTTTCCACAGAGCTGCTAGTGGATTCAAACAGAGAGAGAGACAGACAGACAGACAGACATTCCCTTACTGTTAGCAGCACAGCTTCCTGCAGACTACCCCATCAGAGCTCCCTTCTCGTGGTGGTTTTATTTTCTTTCTAGTCTGATTTCATTGCTGTATAGTATTTATGACCATACTATATTCATTCTTTTGATTTTGGCCATTTTGGGGCTTTGAGAAGCAGTATTATCATGAACATAAGTATCTGCGTTTACCCAAATATTCATTTCTCTAAAGGCATAAAAATGTTTTCAAAATCTGCTTCTCAGAACTCGAATGGCTCCCAAAGACCTTTCCTATTGTTCTTTATCCCGAAGTACAGTAAAAACAACAGAAGTTAGACTAATCTCACTTTAAAATATTCTACTGAAGCATTAAAAATTATTTACTTAAACCGTGTGTACATGTGTTTTTGAGAGTTTCAGGGTTGTGGAAGGAATTGGAAGGGCACGAAGCAGTCTACGTGGCAAAATACAAAGGCTATGCTGTCTTGAGGAAGGCACATGTATTTGTAGCCATTCTGTGGGTGCGGTTTCTTTTTAATTTTGTTGTTGTAGTTAGGTGCCGTTGATTCGAGTTCAACTCAGCGACCCTATGAACAAAAGATCTGAACCCAGTCCTGTCCTGCACTATCCCTACACTTCCCTACACACAAGAGTTTGTTGCAATAGTCACTGTATTTTTTATTTTTACTAGAACATTATTTTTACTTGAAAGAATACCTGGCAAATGAGCTCTGGCTGTTCAGACTTGGGAATTTGGCAGACATTTTCTCTAAAATAATTGGAGTAAGCCTGGCACTCTATAGGATGCAATTGATGATATTGCCAGTGATATGTTCAGACTTTCATGAAAATTTTGTAAAATTTATAAAAGTCATCTTAAGCCTAGTAGCTTCACAGAACTTTCTGACAAAATAGATTCATCAATATATTTTTTTTGTTGTTAGGAAAAAAGATGTAGTTAGATAGATACAAATAGATTGGTAAGTTAAATTTAGTAAAATGAGATGTGAGACCATTAAGCTGGTATTTTCCAAGTGTGATATTACAGAATCATGCGTACATAAAGATCTGTTTGAAGTTCAAAGTTGATTGATGGGTTTTAGTTGACAAAGAATGCAAAGTTCAGTTTAAAATTCCAGTGGTGAGGATGTAGAGAGACTGGAACTCTCATACACTGCTGGTGGAAATGTAAAGTGATACAGCCATTATGGAAAGTAGTTTGGGGCTTCCTTAGAAAGTTGGGGATAGAAACACCACTTGATCCATCAGTCCCACTATTAGATACATATCTGAAAAAAATAAGACAGTCTGACCTGCTCACACACGTGTTTATTGCTGCACTATTTATAATAGCAAGGAGTTGGAAGCAACCCAAGTGTCCATTAACAGATGAATGGCTTAAAGAAACAGTACATTCACACCTAGGAGTATTATGCATCACTAAAAATTACAAAAATTTGTGAAATATTGCACAACATGAATGAAACCAGTACAAATTATGCTGCATTAAATAAATCAGTCACAAAAGTCCACGTTTTTGTTAGGTGCCATCAAATTAATTATGAGTCATAGTCAATAGCGACCCTGTGAACAGCAGATCTGAACC